CTGGCACAGACTTTCTAGCTTCCACCACTGACCTTTGGGCTTTCCCAATGCAGATCCGTGAAACAGTCCTGCATAAAACATTGTCATGGGCTCTTGGCCTCCAGTTAGACTTGTGGGAGGCACTGTAATGGGCTCTAGGTCTTCAGCTGGACTCATGCAGGACATTACTGTGGGATCCAGGCCCTCAGCTGGATTCTTTGGTCTTTAGTGTGTGGACAGATTTCCCGCACTCTCTTTTTGTATATGGTCTTTGGGTGACTATTATAAATAATCTTATAAAATATGTGTCCTGTATTGTATTGTTTCCCCTTGCAAAATCCCAAACTACAACACTGTTCCTTGCTTTTTTTTTTACTTTTTGTTGGAAAGCTCTTGAGGTTTAGAAGCTAAACCTTTTTTTAGATAGGATTTTGTCATGTAGTTCAGGCTGTCCTTGAGCTCAGCATGGAGCTCAGCATGGAACTCAGTATGGAGCCTTGAACTCTTGGCAGTCCTCCTGCCTCAGCCTTCTGAGTGCTGGGATTGCAGGCATGCACTACCATGCCTGGCTCAAAGCTATTTTTGAGATGCTCCTCACTTTTTCAAGGTTAGGAAAAACATTGTGCTTGTTATGTGCTCGAAGAATTACAAACGTGTGACTTCAGTTTAAAATGTGCTTGTTCACGTTTCCTGTTTACTTAGAAGCTGGTTTTCAGCCTCTGACACTACACTGGCAGAACTGGCAGGAAAAGACTGGTATTTAAATTGGCAGCCTGCCTGGAAAGAAGAGAGAGAAGTTTTTCCTTATTAGAGTTGCTAGTTTTCCCGAGGCTCCGAGGAATGAAATATTCTCATGTCATATAAAAATTTTTGTCTTTGAAAATAATACAAACAGGTTTTTTATAAAACTGAGGGACTTGGGTGGCTTCACAAGGACAAGTGAGCTCCTGCCCTGCCCACCCCTGGTCACCTTGGCCGTTCTGTGGCCTCTTCCTGGGTCCCCAGGCTCAGCTCCAGGCTCTTTGTTGCTGTCTGTCCAGGCCTAACCCACAGCCATAGCACTCACCTACCTGAGAAGGACAACCCCAAGGGGCTTTGTGTATTTACCACATGACACCAGCACTCTAGTTCCAGAACATTCTGTCACCCCAGGAGGAGCACTCTATCACCGCCCCTTGCCCGTCAGCTCTGGGTCCCTGTCCTTTCCTCTCTCAGCCGGCCCAGGAGGAGCTACTTGTGTTTTGAATTCTCTTACTGGCGTCTTTTAGTCCCTTCTTCCTGAGACAAGGCTATTAACCCCCCATTCACACTGAGCTCTTCCCTCCCTTAACCCTTCCACTTTGGGGGGCATTGGGTTTTGCAACAAAGTCTCACTGTGGAGCCCAGGCTGGCCTCGAGCTTGAGTAATCCTCCTACCTCAGCCTCCCGAGTGCTGGGTTTTCAGGCGTGTGCCACCACCCTTGCTTTAATTTTTATTTTTATGAGTCCACGTCTGCAGTATATAACGATCACCTTCACTGAGGGCAGGTGGTATGTAGATATAACACATCTTCATTCTTCTTACATCCTGCTCCCTTCTCCTCTCTCCCTGCTCCCTCTGTTTGGTCCTCTTCCCATTTTCAAACGCTCTACCTCCTTGTTTCCTATTCTCTAATGTTAAATAGAGTAAATCAGACACACAAGCTTAAATATCACATGACTTCCCTTATAGGAAAAACTCAAAGTATAAATAAAGAGTAAAATAAAAATAAAAGCTAGGTAATTGCATTCTTATTTTTGTTGTACTGGTGATTGAGTTCAGGTCATCCCAGCCATTTAAAATGTTTTGAGGCAGGGGCCTTGTTAAATTGCTAAATTGCCCAGGCTGGGCTTGAATTTGTGACTGTCCTGCATCAGCCTCTTGGAGCGCTGAGATTATAGCTGTGCACCATCATATCTGACAGTTGCATCATCTTTTGAAGAAGTTGATTCTAAAACTTCTTGAGTCCTGAAGAAGAACTGTTAACACAGTATATTCTATAAGGTAGTTAGAATACTCGTGAATTGTTAAAAGTATTTACCCCAGAAAATACTATATATGGATTGAACCACAGTATGAGAGTTTTCTATGGAGATTTTGCTCAACAAGCCAAATGCAAACTAATTAATTTGGCCCCATGAGCCATTTGATCTGCTCAAGTAGTTTGATCACCCAGAATTTCTGCAGCTTTGCCTGTTCCAGAGTTTTTGATGAGGATGTAGTGCCTGATTGGTGTTAAGCAACAGCATGTATAACAGAAGGAGTTTAAATTTTAGTGTGGATGCCTGTTTCCCTGCTGTGGGCAGACATACCCAGGAAGACCTCCGCTGCCTTTATCTGAGGAAGCAGTCTTGCTCTGAGACCGAAGACAACGGCCCAGCTGTGATGGGAAGGTGCATCCAGGTAATTCCAGGTGCTCAGGAGGTTGCGTCAGGTTGGACTTGGTATCCCAAGCTTGAGGGTGCTTGGGCAATTTAGCAAGACCTTGTCTCAAAATAAAAAATGAAAAGGGCTGGGAATGTAGTGCAGCCCTCTCTGGGTTCAATCTCCAGTACCCAACCCCTTAGTGAAATATTTTACCAAAAGATAAAGGTAGGAGGGCTTGGGGTATAGCTCAGTGGCACAGTGCTTGCCTTGGAAGCCTGAGGTCATGAGTTCAATTCCTGGTACCACCAAAACAAAAAAGACTCTTTAGGCTGGGCGTAGTGGCGCATGACTGTAATCCCAGCACTGGGGAGGCTGAGGCAGGAGGATCGTTGCGAGTTCGAGACCAGCCTGAGCTACAAAGTGAGCTCAAGATCAGCCTGAGCGGCATAGCGAGACCCTGTCTCAAAAAGACAAAAAAAAAAAAAGAATATTGAAAAAAAAGATAAAGGTAGGGACAGGCTCCCCTGGTCCTTGTGTGCTTGTTGGAAATGTTAGTTAGAACTTCCTGTTTCCTGTGCCCAGCGCAAGGTGCAGAAGCAAGGTTGGGTCCTGGATCCTTCTGGCCACTCCCTCCCACCAAAACGGGCTTCGCGGGTACTCGGTGCCTGCTGCAGCTGAAGAAAGTACTCCTCACATTTGGGCTGACCAACAGCAGCCGGTGACATTTCTGAAGAAACTAGAAACGTGACATAAATACAGCAGCATAAAGCAGCAAAGCCTCACCTTCTTCCGGTCCCTTTTCGGGCTCACCAAGGGGACCCAGTTGGGCTACAATAAAAAAAAAAAAAAATTGATCTTTGCCTCAGGTTCCTGGTAGACAGTTCCTAAAGCCCGCAGACGCTCGGGGTGACAGAGCACTCTGCTGAAGAGGTGACTGGCAACTAGGAGCCGCACACAGCTCAGGGTGCCCGGTTGCCAGAAAGACCGAGGCATCCCCGCCTCCTCCGCTCTTCCACTGTCCCTCCCTTCCATCCTTTATGGTAAGTGGAAGATGGCAAGGAAAGCGGCTTCCCAAGTTCTGTGAGTCATTCCAGGGAATCATCAATTGATGGAAACCACTATGAAGCGGCTCTGAGCTGGATTTAAAATTAACCACTTGGCTTTCCATGTTTACTTATGAGTCCGTCCCGGCCTAGGCCCCTTGTCTGGAGATGGGCAGCAGATTCACAGTAAGTGAACCTCTGTGAATCATTGGTCCTGGCTGAGGCCTGTAGTGGCCTGTGAAGCCACGATACCTCATAGGACAAGATAAGGCCAGAGCTGAGGACGTCTGGCTCCAACCCCAATTAACTAAAAGGAGACTGCAGCTGCAGGCTCCACACTCCTACCATAAATGCCAACCTAGAGATAAGGTAGTTCTCCTGAGTGACATAATTTACTACTTGGGAAAATATCTTAACTGACTCCCTAGGTGCTGCTCAGATTCCCACGCTTTCCTCAGTATCCTCCTCCTTTGTTTGAAAACCAAATAAATACAGGCCACCCAGAGAAGTTCTTCGTCTCAGCTCCCGGAGAATCTTGAATTCCGCTAGAGGGTTTTGATCCTCTTGGAGCCCTAAAATCATACCACTTGACTCTTTTATTTAAGACTTCACTGTCCACTTCTTTGGGAGATTGTGGGCCTGACCATTCTGCAATAACTAAGTGATACTATAAACCCAGTAATCAATCCCAGGAGGGGTTGTGGCACCCCCTCCCATTACATCTTCTGGTCAGAAGTGTGGGTGCTCAGGATGGCAAGTGGCACCTGAAGAGGGGGCCTTCAAGGTGGAGGCTTAGCTGAGGGATCTGGCATTAACCCCAGGTAGGCAGGTAGGCAGGAGGAGGTGAGCAGCTCCAAATGCAAGCACCACTAGAGGGGACACCATGCTTTTGGTGTCGGAGATGCAGGACCAGCTCACCAGGACTGGTGTGTGGCCTCGTGGGAAAGGGCTTGCCTGGCCTGTGTGAGGCCCTGAGCTTAAGCCTCTGGTCTGCAAAAACACACCAAAAAATCAGGTGCTGGGGATGCAGCTCAGTGTGAAGGCCCTGAGTTCAATCCCTAGTTCTACAAAAAAAGAAAGAGAGACAGAGACAGACAGAGACAGATACAGAGAGAAAGAGAGAGAGAAAAGAAATAAAGAAAAGAAAGAAAGAAAGAACGATAAGAAAGAAAGAAAGGCCTTATCAACCACTGAGGATCAGCAAGGGAGAGGCTGTGGGCCAGCAAGCATTTTCTTGGTGTAGAAGCAGTCAGTGCCATATTTAAAGGGCAGATATTGATGATGACTATTTTTACCTTCTCCAAACTCAAGAGGAAAAAGAATTGGGCAGTTGTTCAGGCTGGATCCAATTGCCATGCAGCCACGTCAAGGGTGGGTAGAGAGTAACAGTGACCTCACAGAGTCAGGCACCCGGAAATGAGGTCATGCACAGCTAAAGCTTCTAGCACAGTGCTGGGGATGTTGCCCATAGCATCCCGGGCTCAGGGGATGCAGCCTGGGGTGTGTGCCAGCATTAGCACTCAGTTTTCACCTTGCAGCCTGAAAACCTGCGCACTTGAATGAAATGCGGGGTCCAGAAGCCAGCAAACAGGGTGGGAGACACTTCATGACAAAGCAACACTGCGGGAGAAGAAAATTGTAGCACTCCAACCCACTGCCTCTGCTGTGTAAACACAGTCCATGTATTCCTGGTCTCTGGTGTCTTCACTGGAGCTGGGGCATCTCACACGTCCAAACAGCACCAGATTAGTGTGCATAATAGAAACCAAACAAGCTCCCGCAAGCTAATCAGCTCATCGCCTTTCAGGGAGAGGGCAGTCGGTGCTTTTCCACAACCAACGAGGCGCTCGCTGGGTCCCCTGATGCCCAGGCTAATGTGCACACAGGCGTCATCTGTGCCCGCACCTGCTGATCGCAGATGCGTCAGCATCCTCGGTCTTCACAGCCTGATGCCCTCCAGGCACTGGGCCCAGCGCCTGGCCCTTGGGAGATCAGACCTGATTTCAGAATAAGACAGTTCACTGTGAGGCTGAAGAGTGTTTGCCGGCCGGCTTAATAGAAAGCAAGCAAACAAGCCAGCACGCAAGAGCCACTGTCACAGAACAAAGAACCTTGCCCGGGCCTGGACTTGTTTCTGGCTCCATGACTTTACTTTCGTAGTTTAAAATGCTTGGTCAGTATGGAAATTGCATTATCACTCTGCAAGCAGATTTACTGAGAAAACTGTGTCTGGAGAAAGATATGATAAGGGAAAGGTGTGGAATGGTAAAGTTCTGCGTTGAGTCCCTGAAGAGAATCATAGCTAATGCAGGAGAGGGCTGTGCAAATGTTCTGCATGTGTCACCTCCTTCATTCCTCACCCTGCCCTAGAGGCACACAGAAGGACCACTTCCGTTGTTTCACAAGAAAACAGAGGCACAGAGAGACAAATTTTTTGGTCAGGCCTCAGGCAGTAATAAGTGGCAGGTCCTCAGGTTGAACTCCAGACCTGGGGGTTTTCTGTATTGTTTTGTTTTTTTCCAGTACCGGGAATCGAACTCACAACTTTGTGCTTGCCGGGCAGGTGTTGTGCCGCTGAGCTAAATCCCCAGCCCCTGACCTGGAGGTTTTCTGCTTTTATTTCTTCTGCACCTTGTGACTGTGTATTCAAGGAGTGCAGTTTACAGGGAAAGATGAGGTTTGCCACTAAATAACCTGGACAGTGAGCTCAATTTCTTCTTCACTAAGGGACACATAGACCCTTGGAACTGAAGGGCTGCAGCTCAGTCACCCCAAACCTGCCACCTTGGCATAGTGATCATTTTGAGCTGAGGTAACTGGGAAGAAGCAGACACAAGACAAGCTCTCTGTCCTTCCCATTTGTCTAAAGGCAGGATACAAGTTTGGAAAGGTTTTCCCTCCCCTCTACCAGGAGGAATAAAAGTGAATCACCAGATACAGCCTAGACCCTTATCAGCCTGATGTGGCTCCCAGGAATCCACGTGATAGATTTAATAACCAGCCCTCTTCTTCCTGCAGTTTCTCTGTACATTTGCCTGCCCACGATAATCTAGGAGCTCCAAGTTCTTTCCTTTTATCTCATCATTGTTCCAAAAATGTATTGTTCTTTTGTTGAGATGCTGAGTAAACCCAGGTTCTCACCAGCGATGTCACCAGCCACTGGTCCCCGGGAGCGTGTGCAGTGCATATTAATGCGCTCCCACTGCTTTTTCCGGTCTTCTGCCCTCTGCCCTCCTCATCTGCAGCCCCAGCTGCAGGGCGTACGATGCGGAGGACAAGGACTGCTCCCCCTACAGAGCGCCCGAGGAGATGCCTGTTTTGGTGTTACTCTTGCACAATGAATAAAGCATCATCCTTTTGCTGGTTGTTTAAAAAAATACACGTTTATTATAAAAAATGCAAATGTATGGGACTGTAGAAAGTGAACCTCCCATACCCATAAATATGTCTACTTCCACTCATCTCAGGGTGCTGGAGATAATCACTGTTAATAGTCTTCAAACATATGCCTCATACAAAATTATACTCATGAAGTTTAAGGATCTGAATTATCTTTACTTGCTGTTCTAGACTCAGGCAAAACTTCATCCCACGAAAAGGATTGGGTGTTTGGGTGGGCTGGGCGGATGAGCTGGGTTCAAAAAGTGCAAAGGGCCAAAGGAAGGAGAAGCAGCGAACACAAAGCAGATTGGTCACTTCAAGATGCTTTCCTGGTCAGGCAGAGAGCTGTGGTCCGGACTGTGGGGAATGGCTGGCTGGCCTCGGCTTGGCAGGAGGCTTGGCTTTTCTGCAAGGGTTAACGGAGAGAGCCTCATTATCTTGCCCAAGGGGACTGACCTGCTCAGGCCTTATCCTGCTTTCTTGGAAGGTCAGCTTAATTTCAGTTTGGTGACTAGAACTCCAGTATGACACTCTATTTTGATTTTTGTGCTAATCTGTGGGGGCCTAGTGTCACAGCTTACTCCAAAACAATAGCCACCTATCATTTTTATTAACATACAAATATTTCCTTAAAATAAATGTAGCAAGGCTGGGCACGGTGGTGCATGCCTGTAATCCCAGCACTCGGGAGGCTGAGGCAGGAGGATTGCCTTGAGTTTGAGAGCAGCCTGGACTACAAAGTGAGTTCAAGGCTAGTCTGAACTGCATAGTGAAAGCCTTTCTCAAAAAGACAAAAAAAAAAAAGTAGCAGACTTCAATTACCAGTATAACACCTGAGCTTACATTAGAGCAAGTTTGCACTGAACAACTGGAAACACTGGTTTAAAAAATCAAAAGTTGGGGCTGGGGATATAGCTCAGCGGCATAAGTGCTTGCCTAGCAAGCCTGAGGACATGAGTTTGATTCCTGGTACCAAAACAACAACAACAAAAAAAAAAAAAACAACAAAAACAAAACAAAACAAAACAAAAAAAACAAAAAAGAAAAACACTTGACAGAAAAACCAAAAGTTGAGCTGGGGTGTGTGTGCAGTGTACACATTTGCCTAGTAGGTGTAAGGCTGGGTTCTGTCCCCAGCACCAGGAGCAAAATAAAACAGTAAAAACCTGAGAAGCTGGGCTTGCAGCAGAGGCCAGCCCGAGCTACCTGCAAGATGCTGCCTCAAAACAGACACAAAACAAAACAACAATTCTTTGAAGGACAAATCTTCCCTAAGGAATTTCAGATCGGGTAAGCAGATACTTGTATCTCCAGTAGGTGTAGTTGAATACTTTTCGATTGTGAGCTATTCTTGAAGACAAACTTCAAAGAGTACAGCACAGAAGGAGAAGATATGAACTTCACAGAGAAGCTGCCAGATACTACTGGAAGTGATTGAGGTCAAAATTCTGAATAATATTCACAAGGGGCCTGGGTTTGATCCCCAGCACTGCAAAAAAAATAAGCAAAAAGCGCAGTCTAGTGAGTCTCGTTTCCCTCCTGTACTGCTTGGCATCTGTGATGTTCTTCCCAAACCCGTGATCCTTTCCCACCACGAGAACACATCAAACAAACCCAGACTGAGGGGCACTCTACAAAATGCCACACTGATACTGTTTAAAACTGGTGAAATTGCTGCAGACAACAAGGTCTAATCACATCCCGCAAGTAAACACAAGGTAATGCCTGGAACAGAAAAGGGACGGCGTTAAAAACTTGGTGAAGTCCAAAAACAGTAAGCCTGTAGTGGAGAGAATGGCATTGTGTCTGTGCTAACTTACTAGTTTTGACAAATGCAGCAAGGCTTAGTTAGGGAGAAAGGTGTGAAAAGCGGAGATTAAAGTAGGATTTCAACCTTAAACAGATTATTTGCACCTCTTGAAGGTAACGAGGATGGAGGGTGCACAGCACCAGATTTATATTTATATTGTGTAAGTCTTCACCCCACATAATTCCTGGCTACCAGCACACCGACTCTATAATTTATATGGAGAAAAATTGATGCAGAGGCGCTGATACAATATTGAAAAAGAACAAATTCAGAGGACATACTAGCTGATTTACGCTAAGGCTACAGTAATCCAGACTATACAATATTGACAGAAATAGACAAATTGATCAATAAAATAGAATAAAAAGTTCAAAAATAGCCTCAAAAATATAGTCGAGTGATCTTTGAAAAAGGAGCAAAAGCAATTCAGTGGACAAAGCATAATTTTTTCAGCAAATAGTGCTAGAACAAATGGATATCCACAAGAATAAAATGGTCTGGGGGTTGTAGCTGTGGCCCAGTGGTGGAGCACTTGCCTAATATCCACAAGGTACTGGGTTGGTTCAACCCCCACTACCACCAAAATAAAAAAGATCTAGACACTGATCTTACATCTTTCAGAAATTAACACAAAGTGAACCCTAGATCTAAGTGTAACATACAATGCTATAAAACTCTTAGAAGATAATAGCAGAAAATCAACCCTGAGTCTGGCAAGGATTATTTTAAATAAGCCAAATTCATGACCCACAAAAGAAAGAGTTGCTACACTAGAGTTCATTAAAATGCTGCTCTACAGCAAAACAGAACAACAAAACAAAGCAAAACTATAAAGAAAATGAAAAAACAATCCATAGCCCAAGATAATATTTTCCAAAGATATATCTGATAAATGACTACTATCAAGAATATACAGAGAACTCTAAAATTTCAACAACGGGAAAACAAACAACCTAACTAAAAAATGGGCCAGTCTTAACAGATACGTCATAAAAACAAAGCAGAAGGAAAAGCAGGTAGCACACAGCACATGGCAAGATGATCTCCATCATATGTCACGAGGGAAAGGCAAATTAAAATTAAAATGAGACATAATAATACCTATTAGGATGGCCAAAATCCAAAACACTGGTCCCAAAAATGCTGGCAAGGATGTGGAACCACGGGAATTTGGTGGTTCATTCATTCACTGTTGGTGAGACTGTGACATATGCAGTCATTTTGAAAACAGTTTGGCAGTTTTTTGTAAAACTAGAGATGTTCTGACCAAGTGATCTAGCAATCAGCACTCACTGATATTTATCCAAAGAAGGTGGAAAAGCATGGCCACAGAAAAGCTTGTACATGGATGTCATATCAGCTTTATTTATAACTGCCAAAACTTGGAAGCAACCAAGATGATAAATAAACTGGTAGGTACATCCAGACAATGGAATTGTACTCATTGCTAAAAGGAAATGAACTATCAGCCATAAAAAGACATGAAGGAAGTTTAAATGTGTATGACTAAGTGAAGGAAGCCAATCTGAGAAGACTTCAGATTATGTAATTTCATAGCTGGGCTTGGTGACGCACACCTGTAATCCCAGCATTTGGGAGGCTGAGGCAGGAGGATCGTTATGAGTTCGAGACCAGCCTGGGATACAAAGTGAGCTCAAGGCCAGCCTGAACTGCATAGCAAGACTCTGTCTCAAAAAGACAAAAAAAAAAAAAAAATTGAGATCATATAATTTCAGCTAAGTAGCTTCGTGGAAAAGACAAAACTAGGGGCTGGGGATTTAGCTCAGCGGCAAAAGCGCCTGCCTGGCAAGCGCAAGGTCGTGAGTTCGGTTCCCAGTACCGGAGAAAAACCAAAAAAAAAAAAAAAAAAAAAAAAAAAAAAAAAAAAGAAAAGACAAAACTATGGAGACTGCAAACAGATCGGTGGTTGGCAAGGATTATTGTGGACAGAGAAATAAATAATAGGAGCACAGATTTTTTTGGGCCATGAAACTACTCTGGAATATACTATAAAAGCAGATATATGTCATTATCCATTTGACATTTGTCAAGACCCACAGAATGTACAGAATCAACAATGGGTCGTTATGTACTCTATGAATTTGGGCAAAAATTATGTGTCGATTCATTTTTGTGTGTGTGTGTTGTCAGTTCAGATTCAACAATTTTAACAAATGTATCACTCTGGTCCGAATCTCTCATCTTTACCTGACTCTAATATTTTAATTTAATGTTGAAATTGTGTCCCAACAGAAATCTTTTCAAAGAGTAGAGCTTTTTTTTTTTTTTGCTCCAAGAACTTAAGGGAATATCCGTGTAATCATCAGTAGCTGAGGGTAATAGAACAGAGACTTCAGGGGCCCAGTATGACAAAGAAGGTGACCTGAGTCTAGAAAACTTGCTGCTCAATCAGCAGCAATGACAGGTCCTGGGAGAAAGAAAATCTGACTCCCCGAGTTGCCATATTACTTAAGTTATCCACTTTTCAAGCCCTCTCCAAATAAATAAATAAATAATTTGTTTTTAAAGTTTCCATGTTTATTCAAACCTTTCTGAGGTCCAATGGGCTGACCTCTTTGGAAGGGACCTGGTCTGCCCCTGTTCATACAAACCCGCACGTAACACAGACAAAAAATGGAATGCAGTGCTTGAGGAGTCGAGCAACAACAGAGTGCTAGTGTTAAGTATAGCCAAGACCATGCCTCTGGAGGAGCGGGCGGCTTCCAACCACCTACCATCTGGAATGGTAGATGGAGGCTCACTGGGGGATGCATCTGCCAAGAGCAAATGTGGCAGCTTCCCGTGGCCAGGCCAGGACTGGGTGCTCATGGCCTGGAAGTGGAAGGGAAGGCAGGCCAGAATATCCCTGTGGAGGCCTGGATCACAGCCTCAGGTTTCCTCTGAGGGCACATCCTGCGGCCAGGCCTTCGCTGGCTGCTACTGCAGGACCTCCACCAACGCAACAGCTTCCTCACCATTTCCTGGGCACTGTCCCTGAACCTGGGCTGGATTTCCCCCAGTAGCACCGTCAAGAACTGCTCCAGCATGAGCAGCTCCAGGATCTGCTCCTTGGCACGCAGTTCGGGCCCAGTCAGTGGCAGCAGAGCTCCCAGAGGTGGCCCACCTACTTCCTCATAGCAAAACTGACGAAAGCGCTGGCGCAGCCTCAGAATCCCTGCTGTCCTCCTGCTGTGCAGTTTCCCGCTCCCAGGAGGAAACTGCTACCTTCATAATCAGAAGACCTTCTCCCGCCCCAGGAGCCTGGTCCTGGGGCTCCCCCAGGGGGCGGGGGTGAGGTGCCATTCCCCTGGTCTAAGGCTCAGGGCTAGCTGGCCTCAGCCTGGGCTCCAGAGCTGACCCTTTTAGTTGTCCAGAGGGATACCCTGTGGTGGCCCGGCTGGCATCTGGACATGCATTCTACCTTGAATTTTGCTTTTTCCGCCTAGCAATGCTTTGTTAGTGGCACTGTGAGCTTCCCAGGTGTGGATATGTTCCTGTTTGTTAACCAACACCCGGGTGATGCACTCAGGTTGCTTCCAGCTCTTCTCTACACACACTAAGCCCTTTACTTACTCTTCTGCTTCTCACAAGATGCCTGGGAGGGTACACGCGCCATTGTCATCCTCCAGTGATCAAGGAGGTCTCCTAGGAGAGAATCAGGACTCACCAGAGTTGCTTGGCAGGGCGCACACCCAGTCGAAGCCCTGAGCTGTCCCAGCAGCCTCCCTGGTGCGGAACTGAGGGGCTGCGGGCGCGCGGGGTATCTGCCTACAGACCCATCTGGCACAAGGCAAAAGGGCGGGCTGTGTATCCCAGCAGAGTGAGCCCCCATCCCCTTGGCCTCCACCTCTGGGCGCGTCTTGGCCACCCAGAGATAAACGTTC